CTACGTAAGAAGCTCACCTTGATACATTTATGTCAGAGATCAACCACGTATTTATGGCGTAATTTTTTTATGACTAAAAAAGCCAAAAAATCCATTTTTGGGGTTAATTTTGGGGTTAAAAACTAGCAACAATGAGTGCGCCCTTGTAGAAAGGATAAAACATATTCGGCTAGCTAACTTTTTTTTTCAACAAAATTAAGCAAAAAAATGATCTTTAATTAGAACAAGCTAGGTGTTAAAAAAATTAACTTTAAATTAAAACACCAGTAATCGCTGATTAATTATTCCAGAGAAAAGCTCGGAATATAGTTTCTACAGCTTTTTTACCAATCGGAAATACTGATTTCCCCTACCAATTGGAAAATCTTGATCAAACAATAAAAGTTGCTAATAAATAGTTTTTTTGCAAGGGCGTATCTAGGATTTTCTCGAGTGTGGTACAGTTTTGGTAGATTTTTCAAAAACTTTAAAAATATTTATTGATCTTTTTAGCAGCTCGACCAGATGTGATTTTCCGAAGCAAAAACAGGTCAAAAATGCCGTTTTGTGCTTTTTGGAAGGTTTTGACCAAAAATGGCGTTTTTTTCGGCTGGTGCTTTCCCTCAAAATTAGTATGTATTGGCGCAAAAAAGCCTTCAAAAAAAGTTTGGACCGGTCGGCCGAGAATAGATGTTGTTAAAAAGTTCCAAAAGGAGGAACTTTTGGGTGGTGAGAGGGTGTCCAATCCCGGGAGAGTTCGTTTTTTTTCATTGGTCAATTACAATTGAATCACGTCATCCCAGTGGTTCAATTCAATGGGCGGTAGATATCTTCTCAAAGTTACTAGCTCATTCTCAATTGGCTTCAAACTAAGCCATGACAATTTGCTCATAAACCAACGTGTTGATTGGCGAATGAGATGAAGCAAAAAAAATGTTATACTTGATGATGTGCGAAAACTGCCTCGAGAAAATCATGATCACTCATTTCCAACTAAGCAGAACAAAGCCAAATCAAGGGCTTTCCCAATGCATTAAAATAAGCGGTATATTCCCGAGTTATCGTTTAGAAATGCATAGAGAAGTTGGTTTTCAGCAGAAGTTTTGAAAACATTTTAATGCGAAACTAAAATAAATGGTATTTATTATGAATTGTTTATTTTAATATCTAAGAATGGTACAATTTTGTTGTACAGGTCGCTGTAATTTATCAACACAAGGACTTTACCAATCAGCATAGGCTTAACTTTAAGAGCAAAAAAAGCAGCTGAGAAGGAGCGTCAACTTCAGACAAAGGAAAGGTAACATTGATTAGAGCAGAATTTGAATGATAATTTATAAGAGCAGGACACATTTAATAAGGCCCTGATAAGGGTACCTCATCTTTATTAATAATGTCTTAGCCTTGCCTCTTCCAGCTTTATTCTCTAACCAATTTGTCAATTCTTGTTAATGAAGGTATATCATCATCATTCACATGTTCTTATTATTTAATTTTGAAAAAATAACGGGCGAGTTCATTTTGGTTTATTTTGTTGTACAAGTCGCTGTAATTTATCAACACAAGGACTTTACCAATCAGCATAGGCTTAACTTTAAGAGCAAAAAAAGCAGCTGAGAAGGAGCGTCAACTTCAGACAAAGGAAATGTAACATTGATTAGAGCAGAATTTGAAAGATAATTTATAAGAGCAGGACACATTTAATAAGGCCCTGATAAGGGTACCTCATCTTTATTAATAATGTCTTAGCCTTGCCTCTTCCAGCTTTATTCTCTAACCAATCTGTCAATTCTTGTTAATGAAGGTATATCATCATCATTCACATGTTCTTATTATTTAATTTTGAAAAAATAACGGGCGAGTTCATTTTGGTTTATTTTGTTGTACAAGTCGCTGTAATTTATCAACACAAGGACTTTACCAATCAGCATAGGCTTAACTTTAAGAGCAAAAAAAGCAGCTGAGAAGGAGCGTCAACTTCAGACAAAGGAAAGGTAACATTGATTAGAGCAGAATTTGAATGATAATTTATAAGAGCAGGACACATTTAATAAGGCCCTGATAAGGGTACCTCATCTTTATTAATAATGTCTTAGCCTTGCCTCTTCCAGCTTTATTCTCTAACCAATCTGTCAATTCTTGTTAATGAAGGTATATCATCATCATTCACATGTTCTTATTATTTAATTTCGAAAAAATAACGGGCGAGTTCATTTTGGTTAATTCGTAGCTCCTAAATTGAAAAAAGCATGCCTAGATATATCTAGTAAAATCGAATATTCGAAACGCACAAAAATCGAAAGCTTTTATAAATATGGTATTTTGGCTCCAAAAACTAAAAGTGGGTAAGAACTTGGTCTTCGAGTGCACTTTAGTTTTTTTAACTTGTTTTTTTTCTCCATGCGAAATCAAGTACCACAAATAACCCTCAGAATAATCACACAATCAATTCATGAACCTAAAAATTTTGGTAACTTTTGTTGTTTTGAAACTTTTTAGGCACCTTTTTTATGTTCTTTCTTTCTTTTACAGATATTTGTTTTTTTTTTGAATTTTAGACTCACTGATGTCCCCTGATAATGTAAGTACTCAGTTTAGTTGAAAATCCCAAATTTTATGTTTTGAAGATACCAACTCAATCGATCGGCACAGGGGTGGATCTAGGGTTTTCTCGCGGTGGGGTGGGGGGGGGGCTAATTTTATCAACTTTTTTGTAGTTCAACCAAACTGATTTTCCGAGTTCTTACAAACCCCTATAAATACCCTAATTTGACCAAATTTTCTGTGCCACAGGCAAAATTTTTAAAAAACATGCCTAAAAACGAGTTTTTGGGCAATTTTTGAAAATATTGACACAAAAGTTGCGTTTTTTTTTCGGCGCCCTCCTCCTCATTAAAATTAGTATATATCCAATTCCGTCAGGGAAAATTGGAGATCTGAAACAAGTACAAAGGGGGACGCTGGCGGATAGACATGAGAGTTTTGTTGGTTTTTTATTATTCATTTTGCCGGTTGCTTCTCTCACGCTCCCCTCCCTATCCTTTTTTCTTCTTCGTTTCAAAAATTTCAGATTTACTCTTTCAGCTGTTGGTGCTTCCTGATTTTATCAAAACACATTCAGTTGAAACACTCAGCACAAAACCCTCCTTATTGACAAAGATTTTTGAAGGCACGAAAGCAATTTAGGAATCAGAGTGGTGTTTCAATGATTTTCTTGGTCGTTTTGATTGCCCTTGTTGTTCCGACTTTATTTGCTAGGGTGTTTTTATTCAGACCAATTTTCAAAGACTTTTTCTCCCCGGGGTTCAATCTCTTGAACTTCGTGTTTGCAAAAGGTTCGAGCTGACCACTATAGTAACTTGACTGTACCCTCGCTATGAAACGAGTATATCTAAACTGCTCGTTTGAAACTTCAATGCAAAAAAACAACAAGGCCAATTATTTGCTTACTTTGGGTCTCGGTATCTGACTCTACCCTGGTCCCGACGAAGATTGCTCGCACTATACTAATTTGACTGTTTAGTAAATCTGAGCCGAGTTATTTTACTGTTTTTTAGAAACTAAAAAAAGTCGAAATATTTTACAAGTGGATCACCCGCACCACCAAATCGTTCCAAACTGAAGTGAGGCAAGCTAATTTGTCTGTCTCATTACTTCCATTCACGACTCAAATTTCAGTCTTTGCATTTTGAAAAAATAAGCTTAACAACCATAGTTTGTGAGTATTTCATTGACTAAAAACTACTAGAGACCAGTAAATGGGCAGTCAATTCATTCCCGGCTTTGCCCTGGTACCTGCAGAGCTGTTGTTCCGACTTTTTTTAATATATATATATATATATATATTTGGGGTGAGTTTTAGACCATATTTTGAAATATGTATTTGCTCACTTGGGGGCTCAATCTCTGGACCTAGGTAGACCCCGCCGGGGGCGCTCCCCATTATATTTATTTGGCGGTCTGCGCAATCTAAACCGAGTCTTTCCAATTTGCTCGTTTTATACTTTCTAACCTGCTCGAGTGTAAGGTAAGTTATTTACATGTGAACCATTTTCCAACAGCACAAGCTCATTCCAAATTGATGTGGTGAGGCAAGCTATTTGGTCTTAATTGGGCAAGCTCCTTCCATTTCAAACTCAAATTTTAGCACCTGAAAGTTGACATTAGTTTAAATTTCATAGTTTGTAAATATTTTATTAACCAAACGGCAGCCGGAACATTCAGTGCTTTGCCCTGATACGAACAGTCTTGTTTCTCCTCACGCTCTTTTGTTCGTCGTTCATTTTTATTTAGAAAAAAAGTTTGTTTTTCTGAATTTTGAGTTAGTGATGTTTTTTAATCTTGTAATTATCCCTCAGGTTTATATATTATGTTTAGAGTATTTGGAAATTCACTGGAAAAAGTAGTCACCCTTCCATTGGTATAGTTTCAGCTTTCGTCTTAATTGGGTCGCCAATTTTCTACTCGATTATATCGGAATTCTTAATACACTTATTATATACACATATTACCATATATACTAGCCTTTTAGATACATACAGTCAGCTCTTTAGCACGCCTCTAGGAGAAATTATGCAATCGATCGAAATCTGCCATAAGATTGTGAATTTTGTGCCCGACCTTTTAACTCATTTCAAGTATGTTTCCGACGAAGTTTTCGAAAAAAAAACATGTTTAGAAATTCCGTCTTTAAATGCAATAATGGTTAGTAAATAATATATTTTTGTCAATATTGCCTCGATTTTGTCAAGAGTTGCCTCAATTAATTTTGAAAATATTTCCTATATTTTTGATTAGCTGTAATACTCATGTTTTGCATAAAGGTAAATGTCCATGATTAATGAAAATAATCGCAGCTAAAACAAACCTTTTGAAATTGAATGGCATTGATATCTTCAACAAGCTCCTCAAAGTTGTCAACAACAGTTATTTTGATTGAAGAAAACTGACCGGAAAAAACGACAGCTGCTCAACTTGTCTTTCGAAAATCGTAAAATACTAATTAGGTTTTACTATTTCACTTTCAAATGAGGATGAACTAAGTTTATTTCACCAGATAATAATGACGTACAAAAATAGAATGGTAAGTAAAATAGACTTCATTTTATCATTATAACTATATCATTATATACTATGAGCATTATCGGGCCAAGGAAGAAAAAAAATCACATTTTTATAAGAATTATTTTGTAAAATTGTCAGACACATTTCTATCTGAAAATGTGGCCAAGCATCCGTCGACCTAAGTTTTTTTATTGAGCCCCTCCCCCCTTTATCATTGCCCATTACGATAACTCAACTCTATACTAAATAAAGCTTTCATTTTGTTATTAATTTTTGCAAAATTAGTTTATGATGCTCCAATTTTAACTTGAAATCATAAATCTTTTAAAAATGGTCCCAGAAATGTTTTTATTTTATTAAAGCTACCTACAATAAATTCTTTATGCTCAGGAAAGCTCAGCATAGTAACCATATTTCATGAATTGATCGATCAACAACCTCTTCTGTCCCGGCCGCCCCCTGCAAGTGACGACTATAATTTACAATTTATACTAGGAATTCGTGATAACTGTCTTCATTATAAAACAAGAACCAAGCACCAGAAGTCTGATATTTTCAAGTTTTCCATGTCGAATTTGGAACTCAACACAAATTACAGCTACTCAGGTAGCTTAAGAAGTGATTAGTATAAATAAGATTTTAAAGGTCTTGCGTGATAATTATCAAAACATCTGCTGCGTTATTCACGTGACACCATGACACTATTATTTGATTAAAAATTGTACGAACTTAGTTGAAATTACAAATGCTTCATCGAAGTTTATCTGAAGTTTTGACATACGTATGATTTTTTCTGTAACTTTGATGTTTAATTGGAGAGGAAATTCCACTGGAAAGGATAGACGTGGAAAAAGATGAGATAAACGGAAGCTGCGGCCGTTGTTGCCAACATGAACGGAAATCCAGTCTTGAAAAAAGTATTGAATGTTATTTTGTATCCTTTCTGTTGGGCGGTGGCGGCACACACCAGATTTGCACTGGCGCCTATTAGGGTCCCGTTGCCCCCCAGACAAGCCCCAAGAGCCAGAGCCCAAATGAGGGGGTGAACGTGAAGGTTCTCGTCACTTTCGCCCAGTCGGTAGACGATTGGAATCATAGCTGAAAATAAGATTTCGTTTTAACTATTGAAAAAATTGGCAATAATAAGGCAGAACTAGAATAATTAATTATTAATATTGTTTATTAATAGTTTATTAATAACTATGTCCGGGTTAGTTTGCCAACACAGGCGTGCGGTAGTTGCAAAAATAAAAAATGTTTCCGAGCCCAAGATAAACTTAAGCTATTTTTTATGCAATAAGTCCATGAAAACTGAAGTTTTATACAATTTTCAAATTGTAGTTGAAGTTTGTGTGCCGGCCTAAAAGTGTAGCCAGCCTAGTAACAGAAAACCCATCAAAGTTGGAATTTTTGCATTATGGGGTAGGGCTATATTTTGCTGGTGAGGGGCACGGGAGGATCTCTTTTTATGGTGCACAGATATGGTTCGAATCTTAAGTTCATCATTGCTTACCCTGCGTGAAGGGAATGTTGTCCACGAAAGAACTGCTCAAAGCAGACACCCATAGCACAACGAGGAGTGCAACGGGAAAGCGAATGCTGGCGTCCACTTGTTCGATCATGGAAACGGTTCGATCCCCGATGAAATCGAGGAGGTGAAGTTCGGCTAGGGACTCCATCAAGACGAAGAGGGATCCGAAGAACAGGAGGGTGGTCCACTCAATTTTCTCGATCAAGGTTTCGATGTCGTCTTCATTGGCAAGAACCATAAGCATCAGAGAGCCTAGAAACAGAAATTGATCATCTACTTCGATTCGTTCGCTTTGCATGGACCAACACACAAACTGTTCGGTTCCTGGGTTCTTTATTAAGAACAAGATGTGGCTCTGGTTAAGGTCTACATGCATTTTTCGGTTACTTTTATGAGCTCAGATGGTATCGCCCTCAATCTACATTTTTTAGGTTGAGAGATGGAGCCACTTTACCACTGCTCCCTTTTCAAGAGAAGGATAACGTTTCCCAGCCAAGAAAATGACAAAAAAATACATATAGAAAATTTCTATCAAAAAGAGCATGACGGCCGATTTCCATCTTACCAAAAATTCTTGCTTTTATTCATCACTTAAATGCTAATAGAACAAGGATAGCCGGTTGCTTTGCAATTAAAACAGAAACTTCCGACAACAAAAGTTTTTTGCGTGAAAAAAAAACATAGCCAACAGACCTTAAATCTCCTTGAACTTGTAGAACAATTTATGATTGACACTTTTTGATAAAATTAACTCAATTTGAACAAACTGGATCAATAGGTGAAATTTTTTATTTCGCTAAGGAAATTCGATAATTAAATTACACTTTCGAAACTAGAAGTCGATGACGTTTTTCGTGACCTTTAAATTTTTGCTGTTTGGTAAGTAGAACTTGGTAAGTAGAAAATTTTTGCTGTTTGGTAGTAGAATTTGCCTTTCTTTTAACAAAGGGAATGAAATGAACTCAAACGGAACTCAAAAGTCAAACCGCAAAAACGTAAATTTGAGCCTGAACAAATTTTATGACTTTTCCTGAAAAAAAAAACGAAACAAAAAATCACCAAGAGCTATATAAGAATCCAAACATTTGTTCACCGACTGTTCGAAACAGAAATCCGAATACAACAACCCCCCCCCCCTCCCATACCCTCAGTGGTCAGATCAAAAAGCAATGAAGATAACACTTCAGAGCTGCTTGACGTCCAGCACTGATAAAACGCAGTAAGCATAACATGGGAATGTGATGACCTGAACTGGGCAATGACATGGCCTGAAAAATCTAGTTAACGGTCCCCTTTTTACTTCACCAGTGCCTGGAAATGAACCTTATTAAGATCTAATATAACGGCTAAACAAGGTAAATAATATACTTATAACGAAACTTTTCTTTGGCTTGTATATGGAGAACAAATTTGTTTATAATTGGGTACTTGCTGAACTTACATGCCAATTTTCATCTTAGCTAGAACACTTGAACAAAATGTGAACAAATAAAAATTGCAGGTGGGGGCAAACGGCAGAAGCGTCTCCGTTTTTCGCAATAGGGACTCCACTTCACCTGTGAACGCGATGAACCCAAGGTCGGCATGAATGAAGGGTGCTGATTGGATGAAGAACAATACCACCACAAGCACCAATATCACTATGGACTTGATCATTAGGGGGAAATCCTTCACGCCTGAAGAAGACTCTAGTTTCTTGATTTCACTCCTCCAGTCTCCACTTTGGTTCTCTTTGTTCATCTGCAGTTTCTGATCCAGACTTGTCTCTGAACAAACAGCATAGCATTTTAATACTTTGGTTATTACTTAGTTTAAGACCATTTATTCAGGACACAGTAGCCAACTTTGGTACTATTGTTCGAAAACCAACTATGGCTGACCAGCCCTAAAATTTGAATAAAGGCGCATTTCGGGCTACTAATATATGCCTTATTTTTGGGCCGGACGCTCTTCTCTCCTCGGTAATTTGTACTATTTTTGACCTTTGTACTATTTTGAGAAATCCATTAAAAGCGCTTTTGGCGCCAATATATACAAAATTTCAGGGGAAGCGTGCTCCAAAAAGTGCAATTTTTTGGTCAAAACTTTTCAAAAAGTCTCAAACTCTTTTTTAGCCAGTTTTTTTCAAAATTTTGTCCGCAAAATTAGAATCGGCTCTTTTTCCTCGAGAGAACATCCTCGAGAACATCCTAGATCCGCCCCTGCCCCGATCAGCTCTTTGCGGAGAGCCACTGCTGTGCTACTGGTTAATAACTGCTAGAAGGCCTCTAAATCCAACAAGCAAAAAATGCAAAAGGGAAAGGTGAAGTTTATGTTGATAGCTTGAATCGGAAGGCAAAACAAAACAGTTTTTTAAACGAGCCTTTCACAAGACCAAACAATGAAAAACTTCAAATTGTCATGATAGCTTGAAGCAATTCAACAAAAATTTAAGGTTTTCGAGCAAAAAATCAAAAGATGCAACAGTGCAAAATTTCCAATTCTTGATGATTTATTGAACCAGGTCGCAAAAAACTGAAGTCTCTCGAAAAACTATTCACAACGATCAAATTCAAATGATTTTGAGTCCGTAAAACGGTTTGGAAAATTAGCTCACGGCCCAAACCCCACCATTTAACCTTGTGCTTTTTTCCGTGGAGAAAAGATGTCATCCATTTTGCAGCAGCCGGTCCCAGTTTGAGGAATCGGATGACATAAAAACACCTCCAATAATGACCGAAGCGGGACAAACGTTGAACTTTTTGATTCAAGCTATTTAAAGACTATAATTTTATGATTTATCTTAAATTTTGGCTCGTTTCCAGTCCCTCTCCCCACATTTCAAAATATCGAGTTGTTTTTTTGTTTTACGTGTTGTTACGGGTAAATGCGTGATGTTACGATGTGAAGTATGAAGAACAAATCTGTTCACACCTTGAGATTGAAAGCGACCTTGAGATTAAGAGTAACACACACTAACCACTCAGCCACGAAGCTTATTATTATACAGAAGATAGAAGATTAAACTCTAGCCACAAATTAAGCAGAGAACAGCTGCTATGCAATTTCCAATGCTACAGTGAAATTTCCAAATAAGTGAACATTTTTAATGAACACTTTTATTTGCGAGTTTGTTTAGAAAAAAAGAAGATTCGTAATAACACACTAACCTGACGCTAGTGTAAATAGCTTCAAACTTATGAAAGGTAGCGCGAACAAGTTAATGGTTTTTGAGCAAGCAAATTATGCAATGCAATATTAAAATGTTCAAGTGGATTTTGAAGGCTCAATATGATCAAAAAAAAATTCAAGCAACAAATCGTGAAACAAACCTTTGAAAGTTTCGAGGTTGTTTCAATAGTCTGTGTTGATGTGCAAAAAAAACTGAGTCATTTCTAGCGGTAAATTCAGGCCATGACTGCATAACTTGGCTTGCAAACGTCATATGTTTTTGAGGCAATCAGTTCAAGCGTTGCAAATTGAAAAAAAATCAAGTGGACTTGAAGGGTCCACAAAAGTTTTTCCAAAGCAAAGTAATCAGTTTCATAAAACAAGCTATTCAAGCAAAAGCACTTTCAAATTATTCAAATTTGTAAGGGCTGGAATCGGTTTGCTAAATTAATCTGATTTATTTAAAACAAGCTATTCAAGCAAAAAAAAACTTGAAAAATAATAATTTTGATGCTCATATAATTGACTCGTATTCGATGAAACTAAGCAAACTTGAGAAAATTGAACAGACTTATAAATATTTACAAAAAAAAACAAGGATAGCCGGTTCCTGTGCAAGAAGCATAGACTGTTCCGATCATATTAATAAAAAAAAAACTGGAAAAATTGTATTTTTTTTACTTACGTTTCTTGAAGTTAGTGTCAGTTTTAGTGTGTGAGGTGATTTAAGAACTGAGGTGATTTACAACTGCTTAAAAACTGAGTGAGTCGGACATAATCCACAATATTTGTCGTTAAATAAAGTATGACAGACAAAAAGGAGAAAAAACTTTTGGAAAAATTATATATTTTAATATATTTTTTTTAGAAAAGCTCTTTTGTCATATTAGATCGCGTTACTTGAATGATGAATTAAAAACTAAAAATTTGGGCCAGTTTTTCTCGAAACTGGGACAATTTTTGACATTTTTTAACAGTCATTCGAATTACGAATGAAGGGCTTTTATTTTGTATGTCACTCGAACCATTCCCATGATCATTTGTGATCCTGATTTTGCGTGGAAAACAAAAATCTAGAACTCCCGAATACGACGTTCCTCCCCAATGTCAATGATCGGAACAAAGATATTTAAAAAAAAAGAAGAAAGTTCAAAAACTATAAGAAACAAATCGGAAAACTGTTAATAAACAAGAACAAACTAAAAATTTTAAAAAACTTTTCACTAATGGTTTTTTTTAAATCAGCTCAATGGTGTTTAAATTTCAAGTGATCTTTTAGCGCTTTTTTCTTTAAAAATTAATCAAACATTAAAACAACGATAACTTTTTTTCAATCGGTAAATCTAAAACTTAAAATCAACGTGGTGGGCACAAGCTTTTCGTTTTTATTGGAATATCAAGAGAAAACTGGGCAAAAATGAGAACAATTTGACTGATTTCAAATTAGAAAATTGACACAGAGTCGAGGCGAGGCTGCGCTTCGCAGAGACTAGCCAGAAAGCCAAAAAAACTCTATAAACGAAATAAGAAAAAGAAGCAATAAGCATTGGATTAGTAAAACCATTGCTACCTGTCGGATTCGAGCCTGAGCTCTCGAAACTATGAGTCTCACTTCGCTCTCAAGTACGAACGCTTGATGATTGGCAAACACTAGCCACAAATAAAGCAGAGAATAGATGCTATGAAATTTTCAATACTACAGACCGTGATTTTAGCAAAACTGCCACCAAATAAGCAATTTTTTTGCGAATCATACTTATCCACTACGCTGACTAATGATATGAAGCAAGTCGTTTATTCGGGTCTAGTCATTGCAGATGTCTCTCGAAACTTCAAAAAATCTTTCTAAAATTTTGACCTTGATATAATTTAAGCTTCTGTAATTTTAAATTCACTGACTTCAGATTGAATGAAGCTTCAAGAATATTCCTGATTTCGCTCAAGCATTATCCCTAACTATCTCTTAGCCATTGTCTCCGATAAAAGGCTTATTAAGTGTATCCATAGATGATTTTACGTTACGTTAAAAAATGTGGTAATTGTGTGGATATTTTCCGGACTGCGAAAGATTTCCTCACCATTAAACAACAAGCACTGACTGCTACAAGCCTCAAACCCTTGACCTTTCAACTGACTTTTCACACTTCACATTAGCGCTGCAAATTTTAGTTTACAATTGTTTCAGGACTGCCGAGATTCGTGAATTTTCAGCCAATGCCAAAGTTGCGCAACTGGTTTGAGATAATTTAATTTACATCTCTGTGCGGACGATTCTCTTTAAGAGGTCGATTTATATAGAGCATGTTTAATGATATGACAGGAAATTAAGGTCAAACTTATGGCGTGGTTTTGCAGATTTGAGCTTGAAGAGGGAATATAATGGAAATGGGCATTTAGTCGCTGTCCGTTTTCATGAAACTTCATTTCCAAAAATGCTATTTCTCATAATAGCCATCATCCTAGATTAAATTCATAGGCCTACCACACACGCTATGCTTTTTGTATAATGAGCTGAAAATTGCTGGTGTGTGTGGGGGGGAGGGGGTTGCTCATGATATAAGAGGCAAAACTGGACGAAGAATGGGAGAAAAGAAGGAAAGTACTAACGTAAAAGACTGATGTGTTTGTTGATCATAGTCTTGATGTGAGTCTCCTCTCGACTGACAGTTGGGATCCGGTTGCTGTACTTCTGCCACATGGCTATCTTGTGCTGCAGTTTCTGACATTCCGGACTGCTTTGGTGGGAGAAGTCTTTCTTCCGGTACAACAGATACAACACACCCATTCCCACCACAAAGCAGAAGGCAGCTGCCCCACTCATATGCGTTGTGAATTCCAAGAAGTTGATACCTGTCAATCAAACCGTTTATTTCGATACTATTTCCCTTAATATCCCCTGCCTTCAAATATCTAGTCTTCAAAGTGCGTGAGCTTCTCAAAATTAGTACAATTCAATTAGTTGAATGTAAAAAAAAACTCCAGCACTCGATCGCTGTGTAAAGAGCACAGAAAGTTCCGACGACCTAAAAATAAAAGGAAAAACCCAATGTTGAAGTGGTATGATGCTCGTTAGTATATGAAGCTTCAAATAACTATGTACGAAAATATTTTTTTGCTATTAAAATATCTTTTCCAAAAGTTATGTTTCGTATATCGTCAATTTAAAACACTCAACAATTTATGCCATCTCTTCGAACTGAGATTTTCCCATGTTATTCAAATCTTTCACAGGCCAAGCTGAACTTCACACCACTTGCGATACAACAACTGTAGGATGAAAGCACCATAACGCTCAATAATTAGCAAACAGAACTTCGAACGATGCTACAACTGAAGCAGGAAGTGGAAAAATGTTTCTAAAAACACCATTTTGTTTCATGTTTAAATTTAAAAACTATTTTTGAAGAGGCAGTACTGCGATTGACTGTGGGCATTCAATTATTGGTCCCAGAGTGTTTCAGTCTCAAAAATACTAACGGACATTATAAAGAAAAAAAAGAAACTCAGCCGAAAGTTTTGATCGTCAAAAAATCCTATTGCACAAAACTGCATTTAACGCATCCATAAGATCAACAATGGCTATCTAAGTAGTGCATGCAAAGTGATTACAGAATTTGGAAACTAAACCGACAGAGCTTAAGTCGACAATCATGAAGCCGAAAAATCATCAGCTAAAAAGTAGTATCGAAACTCATTTCCATAAATACAATAGTTTGCATATAGCATGAACCAGTAGAACCAGTTCTATATATAGCATAAGCAGTAGAAACTAGTACCCAATAGTTAAATTTGAAATTTCATGAAATTGAGCATGTCACCATAGCCAGCAGCATAGCAGCAAGTGATCACAGCAATTTTGTTAAACCGAAAAAAAGTCTTTATTTGCGATTTGATAACGCCTAAAATAAAGCGTAAAAAATCTATGAAAACAAGGAAACTTTAAGCAAATCGCTAAAGGACTAGACAAGTTTTTTCGTTAAATTTCAATTTCGAAGATGAAATATCACGTTTTAGTTCTTTGAATTTCCAAAATCTTTTATGAATGATTTTTTTGCTTAAATTATACTCAATTTGAGAAAACTGGATCATTGAATCATATATCTTTTCTGGGCAAACTCTTAAGCTATTTTTGATACAATAAATATTTGCGTTAGAAATATTTGCGGAGGAGATGAAAGTTTGTTTGAGTTGGCTTCGTCTCGCCCATAGTCTAGTGTTGTCGGCCCCCGACTGGATATTTATGGCATACATTTATGGAATACTATATCTTCTTTTTGACACTAGACGTCATTCGCATTTTTTTTGCTATTTGCACTTCTTTTCAACATTTAACAAATGAATTTAAACTCAATCTGATTGAACTAAATTAAAATCGTAACTTTTTAAATGATACTTAACTAAAGAAATTTGTTCCCTCAATTTTACATTGAAAAATTGCATATCAATTCCGAGGATTTGTTGAAAAATAAGTGGAGAGTTAGGGTTTCGACAATTGCAAATTGAAACACGTATAGCCGGTTACTGTGCAAGTAGAAGAATGTTCCAAACCAAAGTCTAAGTTTTTCGGCGTGGTGTGATAAAAGGAGCTGAACAAAACAGGGGATTAGGAATAATCGACATTTATAATTTAAAAAGCAAATTGAAAAACAATTTTTGTAGAAAAGTTACTAGTAACGCGAGAAAAAAAATTCGGACGTTTTTTTCAGTTTTTTGATTTTTCGAAACTTTTGATTCCAAAAAAGCGCTAAAATACTCAAAGGAGACTAACGTTAGTCAAGTAAACCTAAGTTTTTATGTTTTGAATAAAGCTAATGTAAGCTTTTAAGCAATTTCAATAACACTGCTTGCACGCTTCTTTCGCTCGAATTAAGACGAAAAATCAAAAATATCAAACGGGTTTTTCTCGTCAGTGGGACAAATTTTTTGAAATTTTTCAATTTGGCTCGAGTCATGACGGTCTGGGCTTTAATATGATATATCACTTAACCAAGTCCGATGATTATTTGTTGTACCCGATTTTGCGTGGAAAAAAAACTTCAAATTTCCTTCCCATTTTCAATGGTCGGAACAACTAGCATCTATACGTTGGGTTTATTAAACAGCACGGCGGAATTTAATGGGAAAATTTCTGTCAGAAATTCAACTTTCTTCAGAGCCCAAAAACTACCTCTTTTTCAGTTTATTTGTTCGAAATCCATTTTTGCCGGCCGTTAAATTTTTTGCAGGCGCTTTTGAAGCGAAGAGCGCGTTTGAAGCGAAAAAAAGATCATCAAATAGTAAAACTTATGGTCACAAATTAAAACACCATAAATCAAAGAACATGAACAGCAAATTAGTGACCGCTGCAGCCGGACTAAAATGTTCAAAGCTTGCCATCAGAGGGTAGGTATCTACACCAATAATTACAGCCGGTTATCGCCACAAAGCACCAACCAGTTACATAAGTTACAAATAGCTTAAAAAATCCAATTGGTAGTGTTGGACCAACTGAACAATCTTTGGGATTTATGCGCCAGACCTTTTTTGGCACAAATGGGACTGATTTTTTGTTTTAGTATTAATGAAAACCCACTCTTGTTAAATTTTTCTGACAAAAAGCCCTATTGGCTGACCGCATTAACTAATGCATTTAAGATGATGAACTGCGAATTAGTTTTTATGAAACAACTATAATTAATTTTCTGAAAAAAACAACAAAGACGAAGGCAGATGCATACTAATATGGAACATCTAGCTGAAAATTTTTTAAAAAAATTTAAATTTTATTATGGATTTCATAAATTAGTATTTATGATTACTTTTTTACTCTTTTATTTACAACCTAACAATTTCACCCATTAGTTTCGTGATCTGACTTAATAGATAGCAAGCTTTTTTGATTTATTTTGGCAGATGATACCTTTCTAACCTATGTTTAACAGTTTTTTAGCTTTTTACTGATGCTTTTTCAATTTGAGCAAACTCTCCGTATGTTTATTGCCGGGTACACTTTTTTTTTCAAAAAATAAATAGAAAAACATAGCCAATAGACGGTTGAAAATAACATCAATGAACGCCAGGAAACAGAAAAAAAACTGACTTGTTTTTCTGAAAAAAAAAAACAACTTTCGAATTAGAAGTAAAAAAAAAATTTGGCCTTGAAACTCTTTGCATTTAAAGAACTCATTATTATTGGCACTTTTTCGATAAAATAAACCAAATATGAAAAAATGGAATCAATCGGTAAATTTTCTATTCCACTGGGAAATCTGAAACCTAAAATCCATTTCCGAAACTAGAAGTTGATCACGATTTTCGTGACTTTTAAACTTTTGCTATTCGACAGTGGAGTTGGCAGTTCTTTTAACAAAGGGAATGAAATGAATTTACAAAGAAATCAAAAGAATAAATCAAGAAAACTTCAACTTGAGCGTGAACAAGTCTTAAGATTTTTCCATAAAAAAATCATTACGACCTATTTAAGACGTTCAGTACGTTCATCGAGTCTTCAGTACGTTCATCGAAACTTGATTTTTTATATAACTTTTTAAAATTTGCTTTAAATAGCGTGAGAGAATGATTTTTTCATCTTTGATCTTAAAGCGTCATTCGGCTGACTAGCACATTTGACGTTCTTCGAGGCATAAAGATTGAATATAATCGGACACTATTTTATCTTTTTTTTTTAAATTTGATAACACATTAAGCATCTCCAAATTTTTCGACATAAATTTTTATTGTTGACATTTGCAACTTTTCTTGACCTAAAATGAATTTCTTACCGATTTCCTTCATGTGATCGTGGTTAACAATCAAAACATTGGGTGGGTCTCCGATTCCAGTGCCCGCTCCCCCCACGTTACTCATCAGCACAATCGCAATCAGGATCGCAATCGGGTCATAGTTGTGAGCCTCACAGATCTAAACGAGAAATAAATGGTATATTAGTTGGAAAGTAGTTTACTTTTAGAGGCTTAGCTTAACTAGCTTTTCAGTTGTCACATGAATTAATTTTAGAATTCAGTTCATTTCATGTGAAAATTTCCCCATTAAGTCACCAAATGAAGGATAACCCCCTAAAATTGAAGGCCAAACTCAAGCAGTAAGCCAACTGGTAAAACAATGAACTCTGATAGGCTGAAAAGATGGCTTCTAACAAAAACGATCTCCTCCTTAAATTGATTTAGCGAGAGATTGCTCACTTGATTCTTAAAAACTTACCTTGATGACAACCGGAGTCATGAGAAGCACAGTGGTGACGTTGTCCAAGAATGCGGATATGATTCCAGCGACGAAGCACAGAACAAAGATGAGGACCCACTTGCGACCGGCTGCCAGTTTGCAGCAGAGGATGGCACAGAAGTCGAAGAAGCCACTCTCGGCGAAGATGGTCACCATCAACATCATTCCAAACAGGAGGAACAGAGTCTCCCAGTCGATCCACTGAAACCAGGCCCAGATTCAATAAATTTAAATTCACTTTCAAATGATTTCAATTTTTATCGGATGCTGATAACTTATCATGTTTATAAAAAAAACTTCAACAAAAACGTTCATCTGTTGAAGTTTCTCATTTGTTTTTAATATTGGGGCTCTCAAAAAGTTATCCAGATCTAAAAAAAGCAATAAAAAAGTAAATGTAAGCCTCGAATTAGTAAAAATTCCGCAACGTCTCGGACTCGAACCTAGGACCAACTGCAACCTAGAAATTATGAGTTTCACGCACTAATCACTCAGCCACGGATGCTTAGTCCTTCACAAGCACTAGCCACAAATAAAGCCGAAAACAGATGCTATGAAATTTCCAATGCTACAGATCGTGATTATAGCAAAAGGCACAGTAGTGCACACTTTTAATGAACACCCGCATCCAGTTTCAAGCGTTAATAATCGATTATAATATGATTTTAGTACCAGTCCTACAAAAATTGAGAAAAAATTGATTTTAATCAATAAATAATCGATTAGAATCTCTCTTTTTGAAATCAAATATAATCAATTATAATATATTACTATCGATTATAATCGATTATTTTTATCCGAATACCTAAACCGATTATAATTTCTCATAATCCCTTTTGTTTGCCCATTTTGTCTTCGACTTTCCACCTGAATAGCTTATATTTTATGCTTTTCGTAGACGTTGGCTCATGAGAAAAATGGGAAAATTGCTTTAGCAGCTTTCAAATCAATACAAATTTATTTATTTTTTTTTTTAATTTCTTCTTAATTATAGTTGTTTCATGATGCACCTTTTTTGAGTTTTTTTGACCACCAAAATATCAGCACACTGCTTTAATTTCATGATTTCTATTGAAGAGTTATATTTCAACTACCGCGGGATTCTTTCAACTAATAAGAAGGGATCTCTATGAAACTTTTGCTTCGTGGTAAAATTTTGTGTTCAGATGAACCAAAGACTGACAAGACATCTCACTTTTAAAAATTTTTGACAAAAAAATTATTATGATCTATTATATTAGATTTTAAATTATTATAATAGATTATAATAGATTATAAGAGAATTCAGGAAAAATTATAATCAATTAAAATTGATTATAATTTATTGTAAAGTCACGAAAAATGTTGTCATTATAATGGATTATAAATCGTTTAAACATCTAAATTTGGCGCTTATAATTAATTATAGTTTTGATAAAAGTACAACTATAATTGTAATATAATCGATTATTTTCTCTTTTTACTTAGTGCGGGCACTTTTATTTGCGAGTTAGGCTAGAAAAAAAGAAGATTCATTCTTAGACAATAGCTTCTCGCTAGCGTAAATACAACAACCTTGCCCTAAATTTTGTTATCTAGAAAGTGATAAATCTGCACATCAATTAGAGTAGACAATCAATAAAGTATCTTATCAAATAGACCAATGCTCGAATAAATGTGAAAAGAATTTTCAGCCAGATTCGTTGCCGCTGACGAATTAATAAAATGAAATTTATCGCGCATTAATTATACCAAATTGACCATATGGCAATTTCCAAACCGCCATAGTTTTACAAAAATTTACCAAAACTCACATTTTTTACGAAAAAACATCAGGTTGTTATAAAGACAATATCTACAAGGATCAGTTTGCAGCCTGAAGTATTCTTCCTGCAGTTTAATGGGTCTGGTTTTTGGTTGAAACAACTGAAATTTCTTTTTAAAGTTTCAGAAATCCAACCCCACAAACAGTTTCAAGAAGAAAGTAGTATATTTTGCGCCAACTAATGCAATATTTGAATCAATTAGCCGGCATACATTTAATTTGCTATAGTTTCTTAGCGGGTATATTTCATCGCCTATACGCTACCCGTTCAAAAGTTGCGCGCATTCATTATTCTGAATTTGCAGAATTGGCAAAATTTGAACCCCCAAAGTTTCCGAAATGTGATCAAAGGTAAAATATCAAAGACTCCAGTTTAAAGTAGCTGGTTGAAAAATCGAAACTAAGCCGGCATCAAAAACCTCAGCATCGATTGAACTTAAGCGCTGGATTGTCTGCATATACCACGGTAAAAACTGATCGCATAAACAGAACACAAAAAAAATGCGACTTATAGGTTGGAAAAAATTCGGGAACAATTATGATAGTTGGGTCCCTAAAATTAATATGGGTGCCTGACGAAAAATTTATAGGCCATAAAATCTTCGAAATCATGTTTAGCCTTTGCTTACTTGTGTTTTTGAAGTTGTCATGAAAATTGTGCGACCCATCTTTCATACTTGCTTTTTCCTGGTACCCAACTATCAAACTTGGACCAAATTTCGTAGTATATCATAATAAGCGTTTGCTTGTTTAAATACTAACATCGATAATCTTATCGAGAGTAGGTCCCTCTTTGAAGAAGTTGAGAGCGGCTATGGCTACCACAGCTGCGATTAGAGCGGCCACGGTCCTATGGACCATCTCAGTCACTATCATGGAGTAGAGAAACAGGAGGATTGCAAAGGCTACGTACACTTCAATCTCACCATACTTGCCAATGTCTACAACAAACAATTAAGTCATGAAAATAAATTACAACAAATGCAAATTGATGTTTTATATTAATACTAATAGATAATTAAATATAACTAGCGTTTAACGCACCTTCGGTGCTTCGAAATTTTTCGACAGCTCATGAAAAACAGCATATATTGGAAACAACATCTGCAAACTTTTAGTGTACTCTGATTGCACACAATTACAGGGTGTGTAATTTCGAACCTTTATTTTTTTTATTCCCATTTTAAAAGCGTCATCTCGAAAACTTAATGGGCCTCTGGAGAAAATTGGAGGCCAGATTTGCAACCACTGAGAGTCCCTGAGAACGTCTTATCTCGGAAACTAAAAGGAAAACGTCTTATCTCGGAAACTAAAAGGATTTGAGCATTCATATTAAGAGGCAAGATTTGAGACGCCTGGGTGTACGCTGACAATAAGGTTGTATCTTCATCAAAATAGTACTTTTAAATTTTTTTGAATTTCTTTGTAGATAAGTTCTTCGAGAAATTTTGAAAAAATCAAAAAACGTCACACCTCGGAAACTAAAAGCATTTGAGCAGTCGCGTTTAGCAGTCGCATGTGGCAAGATTTGCAACTCTTTAGAGTACCCTGACAACACCCAACTACAGCGTTGGAAATTTCAAATTTCGAAAAATAATTAATTTAAACTTTCTGAAGTTTTCTGAAAATTTTTGAAAAAATCACAAAAAACGTCATATCTCGAAAACTACAAAGAATTGAGCAGTCATATTTGGGGGCAAGATTCGCAATCTTTGAGAATACTCTGACAGGGCCCAACTATAGGGTTGGGAATTTCAGATTTTACGAAAAAAAATTAATTTAAGTTATCTGAAAATTTTTTGAAAAAATCACAAAAAACGTCATATCTCGGAAACTACACAGAATTGAGCAGTCATATTTGGAGGCAAGATTCACAATCTTTGAGAAAGCTCTGACAGGACCCAACTACAGGGTTGCGGGTTTCAGATTTTTAAAAACTAATAATAATTTAAGTTTTCTGAAAATTTTTGAAAAAATCACAAAAACATCATATCTCGAAAACTGCAACAAATTGAGCAGTCATATTTGGAGGCAAGATTCGCAATCTCTGAGAATACTCTGACAAGACCAAACTATAGGGTTGGGAATTTCAGATTTTACGAAAAAAAATTAATATAAGTTATCTGAAAATTTTTTGAAAAAATCACAAAAAGTGTCATATCTCGGAAACTACAAAGAATTGAGCAGTCATATTTGGAGGCAAGATTCACAATCTTCGAGAATACTCTGACAGGACCCAACTACAGGGTTGCGAGTTTCAGATTTTAAAAAACTAATAATAATTTAAGTTTTCTGAGAATTTTGAAAAAATCACAAAAACATCATATCTCGAAAACTGCAACAAATTGAGCAGTCATATTTGGAGGCAAGATTCGCAATCTCTGAGAATACTCTGACAAGACCAAACTATAGGGTTGGGAATTTCAGATTTTACGAAAAAAAATTAATATAAGTTATCTGAAAATTTTTTGAAAAAATCACAAAAAGGGTCATATCTCGGAAACTACAAAGAATTGAGCAGTCATATTTGGAGGCAAGATTCACAATCTTCGAGAATACTCTGACAGGACCCAACTACAGGGTTGCGAGTTTCAGATTTTAAAAAACTAATAATAATTTAAGTTTTCTGAAAATTTTGAAAAAATCACAAAAACATCATATCTCGAAAACTGCAACGAATTGAGCAGTCAATTATTTTGTTATTTGAAATTTCTGAAAAAATCTCAAAAATTGTCTTATCTCGTTAACTAAAATGATTCGGGCATTCAAAATTGGAGGCCAAATTCGCAACCCCTAATTCGATATTGGGCTGCTTAATTTAAACTCGATAAAATAACCACTAAAATCAAATTAGAAAATCGGAAAAAAAATTCTTAACCATTGCAATATACGATACAGCTTAAACATGCAAAAATAATACGTTGAAAAAACTTAAACATGGCGAGATAGTGAAGCCCGCATTTAAATATATAATAGATTATCTCATTGAGAAATGCAAATTGCGATTTTCAAAAACCTGGGAAATTTGATTTTTACACCGAGGCGAAGCTGCGCTTTGCAAACACAAGCGACGAAAATTCAAAAAAGAGCTCTGCTCAAAGTGAAATACATGCATATTCTAATATTTTTAATCATATATTGTACAGATATGGAAATGCTTAACTTTCGCAATAGAATAGTGACAAATTTTCTTTTTTAAAAAACGGTAAAACCTTAAAAAGGAATTTTTCCGAAGTCCACAGCTTCTCTACAAAAAAAAACAGGGTAAAACAGATTATGCAGGGAAAATCGAAGCACCACGTTAGTCTTAGAGAACTATGAACCTAATAATCAGGTCAGTTTTTGAGAAAAAAAAAGAATAACTTGGGCTTGTTTGAGGCCGTGTTTCTTTTTTCACCAAATTTAAGGAACAGCCATTTGAGAAGGGGAAATCCCCATAAATTGCTCTTTTGATTGAAACCTTCATCTCATTAAAAAAAATCGGTACAAAAGTTTTTGAGAAAAATTGAAAATTCTGCGAGAAGTGCAAAAATTTTCCAAAGCGCAAAAAAACGAAAAAACAACAAATCACAAACATTGTCATAGTAGATGTTTTTTTTTCAAACAGTACCGAACACTAGCCAAAAATAAAGCAGCAACATATGTCATTAAATCGTTGATGCTTAAATAAGTTTATATATGATTAAATTGAAATTTAGCAAAAGAGCCACCAAATGAGCACTTTCAGTTGCGACATAGGTTAGAAAAAAAAGTTCTTCGTAACAATACACTACGCGTTGCTTGTATAAACAAGGGAGTTCTTCTCAAACTATCTTTTTTTTTCAAAAATAAATAGTTCCTCTTGAAAATGACCAAATTGGTTTGCTTGTTATCGGTGAACCATAGCAGAAAAAAATTTACCTAGCAGTGACATGTCAATTGCGATGTCTTCGTCAAGGGTAGACTCGGCCCTCACGTGAAGCTCATGTCCATCTTTGACCTATTAAAAATAAGGACATCAGGTTGATCTCTAACTATTCCCCCCTCCCCTTTGCAAAAGGGGGAGATTCGTTACTAGGAACAAAGTTCTCAAATGCTTAACCCATGAATTATTTCATTATAGGTGGGGATGGTGGGGAGTCGGATTCGTTACTAGGTACTATCGGGGAATAGTTAAAGAGATCCCATCAGGTTTCCCTTTCCAATTACCACTCAGTGACCAATTTTTTTCCCTTTCAAACTAACTAACTACTGTGCGAGTAGTGTGGGAACGAACTAAGGATTCAAAGACTTCATTTTAGTACAACTGCCTTTTGTGACGTCTGAAAATTGTTTGCATAAGTATTTCATAACAGGGAGTCAAAAATCTTATTCGCGTAAATCAGTTAACTTTGCTGTCAGCGAATCGTCAAAACTGAAAAAGATTTCAAGTTTCAAACATTTGAGATTGTTAAGTTTAAAACTGAAAACTGTGAAAACTCTTATGAAATGTATGTTAGTGTCAATTAAATATTTATTCATGGTTCAAAACTAAATTTTCCTTGATAACAATAATATTATAGAAAACTTGAGACAAAATGATAAATCTGTCAGAACTGAGCACTGCATTTACCTCTTCGTGAAGTATTTCGAATCTGTGGGTGAGTTCTTTGACCTCGTGGTCTTTCTCCGAGTGAGTAATGAAGAAGACGACGTTGGTACGGAAGGAAGCCTCGCAGCGCTCCACCATCGCCTCCGAGGAAAGGCTGGTAAAAAAAAAGAGGCGGTGAATATTATTTCACATTTTCCAGCAATTCACCTCTTTTACCTAGGCTATTTAAAATATGACTTTTGAAACTTGAAATTGTATTCAGACAAGTCTACAAACAAATGAACAAATTTTACTAATTTTTCAACATGAAAATTGCAGTCGGTAGTGGATCCTCCTAGAAATTCAACCCCATGGCCACCCGAAGGGTTCCCCCTTTGGTATTATAGTATTTTAAGGTTCGCACCATTTGCGATACAAAAAGTATAAGATTGAAAAAGCGAGACACTTAAAAAATATCGAACGAGTCTTGTGAACAAAGGTATTTTCGGGAAAAAAGTCTAGTACCCGATTGCATTACCTTTGCTTATCGCAAGGGCAATGACATCGGTTTTCGACCGACTGACTCAAAAAAATTTTAAAGGCTCCTTGGGCGCCATTATATGCTAAATTTAAAAAGCCCGCTCCGTTTTTTCTTATCAAAACCTCCAAAGGATGACTGAAAATGTTGTTTTTTGCTTGTTATTTTCTATTCGCCTGCGGCTGAAAATATTTTCTCAAAATTAATTTTCATAGTGTTTTTAAAGAGTTCGGAAACTCAATTTGATCGAATTATTTATGATATCGTACTTCAGAAGAAATCAACCCCTCTTCAGATAGCATCAACTCTATGTTCTAACGTGTGATTTTAAAAGGTGTAATATGAGGAGCAAAAATGTTTGAAATAGCTTGATTAATACGCATGCCAATTTTGACACGTAAACGAAGTGGGGTTTTGCATCACTTGTGAAATAGCGCAAGCGTAAAATTGAAAGATAGCGAATGCAAAATGAGACTGAATTCACTAAACTGAAAAAAGTTCAAGTTTGTTTAAAAAAAATCAGCTGTTGAAAAACCAAACCAAAAAGCAAAGCCGTTGGCAGAAAATACGCTTTTAGTATCATTTAACGAGCGGCCACTAATCCCAGAAAACTTTGGTAGATGCCCAATGAGCCAAAAACAAAAAATGCAAAAAAAGTGCTACCATAAAAAAAATTTTAGCGATTAACTTTCACAACTTTTGAACCACAACTTTAAAAAAAGACCTCGAATTGTGCCCCCAAACGCCTTTAAAGAAGTTAATATGGCCGATGATATATAAGATGAAGCTATTTCAATTAATAAAAAAACGAAAAAAATCAAAAACCGAGAAGGTAAATTGCAAAATAACGGGATGACTGTCAATGAAAGTAATTGTTTGAATAAAAATAACCCCACAAAATTAAGCAGACAAACAAAAGTCCGGCAACTTATTTTTACCACAAAAAACACTAAAAAAAATAAGATCCAATAGACTCGAACCCCAGCTCTCAGGAGGCAAAAGCAACCGCGTAAACTCTAAAGCAAAAGGGAACGAGTCTGGAAGTTATTAAGGTTCAAAAATAGAGCAACTTCAATTTCTTACAGATTTGTAAAAAAAAAATTTTGTTTCCGGGAAAAATGTTTGGTTCCTGATTAAAAGAAACGCTCTCACAAGTGAAAAATTCATCTAATTCTAAAATTGTGCATGAATAATTTTCAGGCGAAAAGTGTTACTTAGAGGGCACACTGCACAATCTGGCCTCGACTCCCTTGGACTGGTTCTGATGTGTCTCCGCTGTCTCTCTGGGCAGTATGGCCACCAGTGGACCCCTGAAGGTGATGTACAAGTAGTCACACTTCAGATCCGGACTGATGCCCACAAACTTCTTCTCATGACTCTTCAGCACAAACATGAACGACTCCTCGTGACCTGAACAAATCAGCGTAACTTGTAAAAACCACTATAAAGTGAAACCTAAAATACAAACTGTTCGCATTAATTCAGAAATTCATGATACAGTTAGCTAGTGTAAATCAGAAATAACAAGATGCACGCATATTCACGTGAACAGATAATTCCAGCTATAAAATATGACCAGATTTTTGGTAGTTCTATTAATGACTACTTTTAACCGAAAACTAATGCGTTAATCTCTTTTTTCCTTTTCTTATCTCGCAAAAACCTCCTTTTTTGCAGCAACCAGTGATTTTACAAGGATGTGTGTGAAGATCAAATAAGTTTGGATTATGGTACTGAGACTACGTCAACTTTCGTTATATTCGGACTAAGTGCTTAAAACGATTCTGAAGTCAAATTCACAGGTGAAAGAAAATTAAGAAGAGCTCATTAATTAAAAACGATTTCAACACGTTTTTTAGTAGCATTAGAAACCCGATTCTACAATAAACTTTCAAAATTACTTTTACACCGAATTATTTTGAAAATAAAATGTCCGTGAAGTGCTGAACAGCTTGTATGTCGGACCTTTCTTGGATAATTGGTTTCAACTTAAAGCTGACCTTCTTCGTAGATCATGATGGTGGTAACTGCCAACAATAAAATGAAGAATAGGATGGCTATTTTGACGATGTGTCCATAGCGGCTGAAAAATCCCCGCACGCCTGATTGCTTTACCTAAAAAACAACAAAAAAAAAACAACAGATCATGACACTCGAAGATACATGGTAGTTATTTTGAAAGACTTTTAGGTGGCCAATTTTTGCATCCAAAGTTCGCGACATATATTAGATGTTGGAGAATTTAGATATTCAACTATCCTGCTATGGCAGGAATTAGGCAAATTGTTATGTAAGTTGCAAAGGTAATAATGATTGAAAAAGTTGAGGATTTCAGAAAATTTGAAAATTTTGGATCCATGGAACTTTTCCTACCACTGGTAGGGATCCTGTTGACAAGTAGAATCCACGAAGATCGGTCCCTCCATTAACATTATTGTTGTGGGTTTCAGGCATGGGGTGGGTGGGTGATCCAGCATCAGACGATGACAACATGGACTCGGCTCTGTTGAGGGGGGACCCGTGGACATACTCCGAGTCGTGTCTCTTCAAACCTGGCACATGATCCAGAGCTTCGTCGTCGTCGTCAGGATGCATGTCCTGAATTAACCTCACTGTAAGTTTTGGATCTCTTAAACTATCTCTTCTCCTCTTAATAAGAAAAAGGGGAAAATTTATTTAAGAAAAAAAAAATTCGCAGATGCATAAATGGGGAGTCTTTTATAGGGGTGACTATTCATAGCTAGGCACGATAGGAAGGAGGGGCAAATCACTAATGATATACCACGTTTTAACACATAGTCGAAGCGTAGCAAAAATACGTGTAGTTGAGGCGTAAACAAGTGACAGTACAAAAAAATTCAAGCCGTTCTCTCACACGTATGATTCATAACAGCTCATTTGACTCAAACCAGGCGAAAAAATCTATTGTGAAAAACTGGAGAAACCGGAATTTTTCAAACTCTGCAATCAGAAAAAATCATTATTTTAAACTATTGTATCATATCAAATGTAAAATTTCGCACTAGGCTCCAATTCTTGTTTTTTTTTGCAAAGAGGAGAATGGAAAGAAAATTTACAACTTAAAAAAAGTCCTAAATATTTCTAAAAAAACTTTTAAAAAAATTCAAAAAAAAATCTGCAAAAATCTTGGAAATCAATCATCTGCACCATCACAGAAAAACAAAAACATCAAAAAGCTTTTAAACACAGAAGCGAAGCTGAGCTTCGCACCATTTGTGATAAAATAATTGCAGGATGAGCGCACCATGAAGCTACAAAATTAGCAAACAAAACTTCGAACTATGTTACAGTTTAAACAGGTAGTGAAAAAACGAGAAAAGGCTTTTTTCAATTTTGAAAATATTTAAAACTGTCAGAGGTGGGGGTGAATTTGGGCAATAAAAAAACTGGTGCCAGGGTCTTATTGATGTCAAAAAACTACTGGAATTTTCGGGGGAAAATTGGTGAACACGCCGACAGATATGAAGCCGACATGCAATAAGCTGAAACTTCACACAGGAAAAACCATACAGGAAATAATTCATATAACTCCAACATAGGATCCATGATAGCTATACAAGTAGCGTATGCAAATTGGACTATATAATTTGAAAACTGAACCGAGAGAGCTGAAGTCGACAACCAGGAAGCCGAAAAACCATCAGTAGAAAACTAATATCGAAACTATAATTATACAAAGAATAGTTAAGTTCTAGATATAGCATGAGTAGTAACTAGTACACGGTAGTTAAATTCGAATTTTCAGCAGCATAGCGGCATCATCTGATTTTGTTAAACTAGATGTTAACCTAAAAATGTCTATATTCCGATTTGCCAACTCTTGCAATCGCAAGCGTAGTTATAGGGAAAACTGCAAAATTATGCACTGTGGTAACCAAGCCGATTAAAAAGCAGACAGTCGATAGGCCGTCAATTTTTTAGTAGAAAAGCTTCATCAATACAAAAAGTTAACAGATTAAACGTCAAAATTTTATCAGCGCAAGTTTGTAGCAGGGTTGGGAGAAAACGTTATTTATTGAAAAAGTTAATTAAACAACGTTGCTAAAAAATTTTCTTTGTCATTTTCTACAAAATAATTTTACCCCTATCAACACTGATCTTTTGACTTTCTTACCTAGGGTTTGTACGCAGCACAACATATCGGTTAATTTTCTGACTTAACCTCTTGGTTAATTTTCTAACTTTTCCGGGAATGCAAAACTTTTTTGATAACAGCATGAGTAAAGGTTGTGAATTAACAATAGAACGGCAAAGTTTGGATAAGAATCAAAATAGCATCTCAGTTACCCCAAATAGACAATTTTGCAACCCATTAAAACAGTAAAGAAGGCGCAGGTGATTATCTTAATGATTTTTGAGCTCAGATCACCGAAAATTTTCAAGATAAGATAAATAACTGCCTTCAATTTTTTAATTTAAGAAAGAAAACTTGTCTGGAGAAAAAATCAACGACGATCATTTTTAGTTCTTACTTTCTTGGAAAGTCGGAACAACATGCCAGAGTGCGGCCGTTATGATCAGGTTTTTTTATACTAAAAAAATTTGTATTTGTAACACTTCTGAATTACATAAATACAAAGTACCTTTTTAAAAAGAATACAATGTTTTCATTGATTTTTTCAATGAGCTATTTGAAACTTCGTCCAAAATTGTTATTTCGTCATCAAAACTAGTTATCAGGAGAGCCATAGCTGGAAAAGTTATTGTTCGGGAAAATTTCCTAATGCTCAACAATCGATATAATATAATAGTCTTTAACGGATTTTTTATGGCACTAAATATGAGCTTCAAATCAAAAAGATTTTTTTTAATTTATAGTTTTCGATTTTTTATTTTTTTTTGCACTAAAAAGGCGGTTGAAAAATTGGCTTTTTAGCAAAAATGGATGTCATAATTAGCATTCGTTAACTTTGATGAAAAACTCTTTAGCACTTCTTAGCGGCTATTAAATGAGCTCACATCAATTTTACGACGCCAATTTTTTTCGCTATTCGCGGTTCAAATTAGGATTTAAGTTGTTTTCAACTCAATATACTCTCACCATTAATGCTTGTTTCAATTCTTTTATATCGGCAAATGGTGAATAGCAATTGTTGGAGTGCGAAACGTCGCCATTTTCCGAGAGCCGAGAACCACGGCGCGATTTGATTTTATTAAACACTTTCATCGGTATGCCAGCGCTTGCCGGTTTGACCGAGAATTCAAGGATACTATCGTGCCCTTCTGAGCTCTCAGCGTCATTGGTTTCTTTGGATTTCGACTCTGCCAGAGGAGTTGACGCAGTCGGAAGTTCCGAGCCCGAAGACATAATGAAGACTGTTTCTGAACTTCAAGCAATGAATTGTCGCAGATTTTGAAATTCGTTAAGGGATATGGATACGCTTTACGCTATAAGTTAGAACCAGTAATTCTCAGCTCAGTAGTTATTTCTTTGAATAAGAGAAAGTTTTAGTTTTCGACACATAAAAAGTTCGAAACAAAACAATTCGGGTCCATATTTAGAGTGAAGTGTTCGAAAATAGTTTTTAATTTTTTCACATCTTCGTGAATACAAAGATAGTGGATAATAAAGAATTACTGTCAGTCAAAGTTTAATTTTAAATTATCTACGTCAACTACAAAATTGAATAGTTACGTTGAAGATATCCTTAACTTGGTCACAAATAAAAACAATGTGATCGTACTAGTCTTCATTTGCTTTGTTGAATCAGTCATCAGTAAAAATTAATTAAACTACTAAGATTTTTATAAACTATAACTATAATTGCGATAGGCCAAAAGTGTTCACACCAGTCTAAGCTTAAATCGAAAATTATTTTCAATCGATTACTTTCAAAAGCAAACACGCAAAACTCTCAAAAAATTCGGACACGCCGACCAAGATAAAACTAAAGGCTGTTGTATGTAAAATCTAGTTTCAAAATTAGACCTTGTTGGTTTTCAAACCAGGATCAGAACTGATATTCTTTTCAAACCCTGATGAATTCTATTTGATGGTTCTATTTGATGATCGGAAAAGATAAGTACAAATAGATCAGTTATATGGTGTCAAAAATGTGTCAAAAACAGAAGGTCCCATCAGCTTTCGCGTTACTGTTTAATGCTCATGACTTCTTTACATGTTTGACTTTGATTTGCAATTAGTCCGTTTTAAATTCTGGGGTGAAATTTCTCTACATTTGGTTCACAGCAAGAAAGGTTATATTTCAAATTCAATTATCAGAAGAATTCAACGAAAATACTCATTACAAACAACGCTCTATTATATTTGTAAAATCGGAGTCTTAAAGTTTTTTTTACCTATTGGGCCATGAATTTAAAAGTCACCGAGACACGAGAAAAAGTTGTCTTTAATGCAAACAAAGCACGAAAAGTTCCGAACACCGTTCCATTCTGGAAAGAGTGAAATTAACTTTTAAAAAAAATTCTTTATAAAATTGTTTTCAATTCTTTTTTTTTTGCGATTGAGGGGGTTATTCGAATGATCGCGACTTTTTAAAAAACAGTGGAAGAAGTTTAAATTTCCAACCATTGTATTATGATTGGTCTCCGATTGCTGCTGCATGAGCTGTTGGGAGTCCTCTGTCCAAAAAGCCTCAAACCGGTTCTATTGGTATTCTGGAGGCTATAGGAACATGCATTATGATGCATGACGTCATAATGCATGTTCCTATATGAAACCATGCTTTAGGAACATGCATTATCGTGGCACGAATTATGAAACCATTCTATTAGAAGATGCATTATACAGGCTGTAGGAACATGGATTAAGGTGCCTGGCTACAACTGGTTTTTAGAACTGAAATAATTAAAAGAGAGCTTTAAGCTGATCAAAACCAAAGTTGTTGGCCTCAACCAAATTTGTTGAAAAATCTTCCTCTGCATTGATTGCCCCTTTCACTTCGTCCAATTCTAAGTAATTCACTTCTTCCATTTCAACCACCAATTCTTATGTTAAATTGGTAAGATTTTGTTGTAATCCGAAATTTTTGAAGTGTTTCTTTTTTATAAACCTTGGCGATATTAAAATACATTATTATGCCAACTTGCGCAGCGGTTTGAAACCCTACCTCGTGCATTTTCTGTACTCTCGGAGTATCATAATTTTGAATATTAGAAAAATACTGGTTGATTTTGTTTTAAATCTTGAGAAATAATTTTTTTTTCTTTCAAAATTACGAACAGCGACGAAGATCTGAAGTATGAAAAAAACAAATGCTTAGATTTTTTCAATTTATCTAAAACGTCATATTTCAAGCGCTATGATAATTTCAAGGGCTCTAGTGGTTGATGGTGGAGCCGATTTCCCGCAAATACAGGACAAAAATCTTCCCCAATTCGTAGTAGAGTAAACCTGAAAATCAGATACAAAACAACAAGCAAATCTACAATCTCGTATGTCGCAGACACCTGTCGTTTCAGATAGTCATACAAGCTGCACGGTGTTTTAGATTTCAAAAATTTCCTTTTGGCATCGTTCCATTTTGAACGAATGGGGAGAGACTTTGTTTTCGGGTGTATTGTAGTTTTTTTCTTTGCTTTTGCATTTTCCACGCTAATTCAGCTACCCCAAATAACCATCGGAGAGAATTGGGTGAAAAACCCTTCCAGTCGTGATTCAAACGACATTAAGAAATTTCGAAAAAATTCTCAGAGTCGAGAAAAACCGGTTAGGAGTTTTTGCTTATTCGACTAAATTCGAGCGAGTAAAGCGAAAGAGCACGCTTATTTATGCTTAATTAGGGTCGTTCACAAAAACTTAATTAGGCTTAATTTTAATTTTGATCGAGTAAATGAATTTTTGTACATTTATAACGCCTTTTTAGCAATCAAAAACTTCAAAATTTCTCTAAACAATTCTGCAAAATAAGGTCCGTAGAAAAATTTCGATTTTTTTTGAAAAAAGTTTCATAGATTTTTTTTATTTTTCCAATCATTTTTCTTCGAAACTTGTTTTGCTTTTTGCATACATAACTATGACAGTCAATTAAGCCTAAGCTTTAGTTTCTACGTCACATCCTTCTATCACACTACGCAGAAAATCTACACCAACTTAGAAAAAAATGTTAATTTTTTTAAAAGACTATGACAGGAACATTCTGTGCTACTTGCACAATAACTGGCTATCCTTGTTTTTTATAATAGTTATCCAACACCGCAAGAACTTCTCGAATAAGCAAAATAGGCTATTCCTTTTTTTATCATCACTTGATTAAAACCTATAAAGCAGGCTTTCAAATTAAAAGAAAGCACGGACTAAAAAATCCGTGTACATTATTCCAAAAAGAATGCGTATAGTAAACCGAATTGTTAGTAAGTTACCAGATAAGTAAACCAAGTAACCTAAAACTTATTTCAATTGCCTACTAGAAGATTCGTGAAACTGAGTTCATTGAGCTACAAGGGTAACTGAAGAATTTGTGTAGTCATAAAATAAGGGAGTTCAGTAGAAATTTTTTCGAAACTTCATTTTGTGAAACAAATTATTATCATTGTGAAATAATACCACAGCAAAAATCTGAATGACCAATTCATGCAATTGTGCAAATCGAGGATGCAAAACTAGGCCATTTCATTAAACTGATCTCATACACCCGGTTACGATTTTCTAATAAACGGACTTACTGACCTACCGCCTCAAAAAATAGCTCATTCCATCAAAATAACGCCACGCAAACCACACTGAAATTTTCAAATTTCAACCGCAATAACAATTCGAGGGCTCTAGTGGTGGATGATGGAGACAGTAGAGTGAACCTCAAAATCAGACAAAAAACAGCAAGCGAAACTACAATCTTGTCTGTCGCAGACACGGGTCGTTTCACATAGTCATTAATTGAGGGCTCTAGTGGTGGTTGATGAAGCCGATTTCCCGCAAAGACAGGACAAAAATCTTTTCCAATTCGTAGTAGAGTGAACCTCACAATCAGACAGAAAACAGGAAACAGGACTACAATCTCGTCTGTCGCAGACACCTGTCGTTTCAGATAGTCATACCAGTTGCACGGTGTTGTAGATTTCAAAAAAAACTTCTTTGGATAACGTTCTATTTGCCCATAAAAAACTTAGCGTCATGTTAAACTTATAGTTCCAACCATTTGAACAATGAGTAGGGACTTCGTACTGGGGTGTATGGTAGTTTTTCTTTGTTTTTTGGACTTTCCACGCTAAATCAGCTTCAACAAATAACCATCGGAGAGAGTTGAGTAAAAAAATCTTCCAGTCATGATTCAAACTACAATAAAATTTTTCGAACAAATTCTCAGAGTCGAGAAAAACATATAATTTCATATATTTTTTTTGTTTTTCCAATCATTTTTCTTCGAAACTTGTTTTGCATTTTTGCATTTATTACTATGACAGTCAATTAAGCCTAAACTTTAATTTGTACGTCACATCCTTTTATCACACTACGCAGAAAATCTACACTAGTTTTTTTTTAAAAAAAGGTAGTTTTTTTAAAGACTATGACCGGAACATTCTGTGCTACTTGCACAATAACTGGCTATCCTTGTTTTTTATAATAAATATCCAACACCGCAAGAACTTCTCGAATAAGCAAAACAGGCTATTCCTTTTTTTATCATCACTTGATTAAAATCTATAAAGCAGGCTTGCAAATTAAAAGAAAGCACGGACTAAAAAATCCGTGTACATTATTCCGAAAAGAATGCGTATAGTAAACCGAATTGTTAGTAAGTTACCAGATAAATAAACCAAGTAACCTAAGACTTATTTCAACTGCCTACTAGAAGATTCGTGAAACTGAGTTCGTTGAGCTGCAAGGGTAACTGTAGAATTTGTGTAGTCATAAAATAAGGGAGTTCAGTAGAAATTTTTTCGAAACTTCATTTTGTGAAACAAATTATTATCATTGTGAAATAATACCACAGCAAAAATCTGAATGACCAATTCATGCAATTGTGCAAATCGAGGATGCAAAACTAGGCCATTTCATTAAACTGATCTCATACAACCGGTTACGATTTTCTAATAAACGGACTTACTGACCTACCACCTCAAAAAATAGCTCGTTTCATCAAAATAACGCCACGCAAACCACACTGAAATTTTCAAATTTCAACCGCAATAACAATTCGAGGGCTCTAGTGGTGGATGATGGAGCCAGTAGAGTGAACCTCAAAATCAGACAAAAAACAGCAAGCAAAACTACAATCTCGTCTGTCGCAGACACGGATCGTTTCAGATAGTCATTAATTGAGGGCTCTGGTGGTGGTTGATGAAGCCGATTTTCCGCAAAGACAGGACAAAAATCTTTTTCAATTCGTAGTAGAGTGAACCTCAAAATCAGACAGAAAACAGCAAGCAGGACTACAATCTCGTCTGTCGCAGACACCCGTCGTTTCAGATAGTCATACAAGTTGCACGGTGTTCTAGATTTCAAAAAAACTTCTTGGGATATCGTTCTATTTACCCATAAAAAAAATTAGCCATTCCTTTTTTTATCATATCTTGATGTAAAACCTATAACGCAGGCTTTCAAATTAAAAGAAAGGACGGACCAAAAAAGCAGTGTACCTTACTCCAAAAAGATTGCGTATAACAAACCGAATTGTTAGTAAATTGCCAGATAAGTAAACCAAGTAACCTAATACTTATTTCAATTGCCTACTAAAAGATTCGTAAGATTCAAATCATTGCGCTTC